AACCATTAGCTTTAAATCACAGTTTCTAGTGTGAACCGTCTCCATTTTTAATGCTTGAATTAAACCCAAGACTGAGGGGAATATACTATAATTAACTTAATCATTTCCCTGATGTTAGAAGTTTAAGTCATTTCTGTTTTTTTCTGTTATACATGATGCTGCAGTGAACACTTGAGTCACCCCCTTTTCTGCTGAATTTTTTCTTTAGGATAAATTTCCAGATGTCAGAAATCAATGGGTACGAATATTTTCTTATGTTTCACAAAATCTTTTGCTTTACAAATGCATTAAACTAATTTGCAATCTGCCAAAATGTATGAACAAACAAGTCCTTACCAAAATCTCAGTACTACTCAGTTTTACTAAGGGTGTGCATTTGAGGGTCCACAAATCTCAAGCACAAAATGATACCTCTTGCCTGAGTTTATATTTAAATTGCTATGGAGGAAGAAAAAAAGAAAAGTTTCCTGTCATTATTGTTTTTTGGTATGAAGTGTTTATATCTTTTGTTTTTTCTCTAAAAGATTTCCAATGTTTTTCTTTTAAAATTGAATGAGATCTTTCTAGGTATACATATTAATTGTGTCATAGACAAAAAATAAAAAAAAATTTTTAGCCTACCCCACTGTATAGATATGTTTACATTTCCTCCTAGAATTTTCAAGTGTATTTACACTTTTATTACTCTTCTTAGGTGCTCCTCACTTCACCCAACCTGCGGCTTCTACATAGAGAAGCGCTAGGAAGATGAAGAACTTCTCTCATGATTGATGTCAGCCACTGAGGTACAAACAATACTTGGTCTCTGAAGGTATCCCAGGACCTAATTTCTCTTAATCAAATGAAGGGCCTCAGGAGGAGCCACAAGGCAGAAAGGAAAAGAAATCTGAGAGAGAATACCAAATTCTGTGAGGAGTTTGAAGGACCTGCATTAAAAAGGGCGTTGTACCTTTAGAACTTCAGAACTGGCAGTGCTCCATATGCAGCTATTAATATGCAAAAAATGCCTTCATAAATACTTGATTCTGCTCACAGTGGGGAGGCAGTTCATTTGAAAGAGGAAATGGGAGCTTGGGGTTGAAATAAGTCTGCTTGTCTCTTTTTTTTTTTCCTATTACTCTTTTCATCTCTACATTTTCCCTTGTAGTTTTCTTTCCTCTCTTTCCCCAGATTTAAGTCCCTCCTCCAACTCCTAGGAAGTTGATGTCAGTTGCTACTCTCATTTTCATTTATGGACTTCATTTACGGATCTTTGGGTCAGGTGTGGAAGGGATGCTTCAGAAGCCATTCCCCATCGCGGTCATCGGTCTGTGAACTGGAGGCAGGAGCTGTAACCCTCCCAGCTCTCCCCCAGTGCAGACAGATGTTTGGGAAAGACAGATCAGAGGTCTTACAAAATCAACCAGTAGGGGGCACCCGAGGCAGCACCCAGAATCGGGTAAATCCTTTAACCGAGTCACGTCTGGAAAGCGCCATCTGGCTTTCTCTCTTACCCACCTGTCAGAAATTGTTTTCCAAATTCAGGTCTGTGACTTCTCTTTAAAAGGTAGTGATACCGAACTAGTCTACCTTTTTTTTTTTTTTTTCTCTTGGCTAGCACAGGGATAAAAGAGTAGAAATATTTTATGTGACTGAACTTCTAATATAGTCAGACCCCAAGGAA